GATCCAAGCTATCTGGGGATACATTGAATGTGGGGATTCTGTTCAGGAGTTTTAGAATTGTTTTTTGTGTATTTTTATTAGCCTGTGTAAAATGGAGGTTGTGCTCTATTACTTCCCAATTATCTCCAGGATAGAGAGGAGGGTCCATATTGTCCAAATGGGAGTGTTAATCGCTAAACCGTTCTGATTGGTCACTGTACAATTTGTCTCAGTTTTCCATCAGGACCCTTTAGGGGAGTATCCACCTGGTGGTAGACCTGCATAAAAGCCGGGCAGGTTGCCCCATTAAACCAAATTCCTGCTTGACCCTCAATTCTCTCGTACTTGGGGGGGGTGGGGGATTTATTTGTATATTTTTTCCTGTTCGGCTGTGTGGCGTGGGGATGATTCGTATACTTCCTGTTCGGCTGATTGGAGTGTTCGGTAGCTGCCTTTATATTCGGGAAGGGAGCATCACTGGCGGCTTTAACCCCTTCTATTAACCCAAAGTAGTGGATAGCGCTGAACCGGTTTTAAAAAGTGTAACACTTATGATAATAGAGATCTTAGAAATCAGCAGCAATCACCAAATATGTGTAAAACAATCCAATATCCAGAAAAATATGTTTTGCTTTAGAGTATTACTATGTGTATCTAGTAAGCCTATATCTCACCAGTAAACCTTCATAAAAATCACCTGAAAAGATACATATATAGACCAGTGTTTTCCCAACCCAGTCCTCAAGGCACACCTACCAGTCCAGGATTTAGGCATTACCCAGTTGTGTCTAAGGTGTTTTTACAAAGAAGAAAAAAAAAACACCTTAGACACAACTGGGTAATCCCTAAATCCTGGACTGGTAGGTGTGCCTTGAGGACTGGGTTGGGAAACACTGATATAGACAATATAGTGCAGACCATCTGATTTTAAAATATTCTTGCAGTGCACACTTAAATAGAAAATTGGGAGTTCACACATTTTCCAGAGCCTAATGAACCCTGGCTCTGGGTGGGATAAACTTCTATGGTGAGGGAAATATTCCCACAATCTGGTTCCTCTGGTTTTTTTCTTCTTTGTAAAAACACCTTAGACACAACTGGGTAATCCCCAAATCCTGGACTGGTAGGTGTGCCTTGAGGACTGGGTTGGGAAACACTGCCTCAGAGAGACAACTTTCTTCTGCAGCACTGTATGGGAAACCGAACCAGCAGCACACCAATGGCACAGTATAAAAAGATATATTTATTGTAAAACAATTAACCCCTTAAGGACCAAACTTCTGGAATAAAAGGGAATCATGACCTGTGTAACCTCGCCACTGGTTTTTGGAGAGGCCTGTTTGCCAGCCTCCTGCCCTGCGACTATGGCCCTGGAATGTATTGCCCTTTTTGGGCACAATGGATTTTTGTATGCTGTTCCTGGCCCTTTAAATACGTGGGAGCAGTGTTACAACTTTTAAACTGGCACTTCGAATGCAGTCAAAGTGTCGAAGTGGCCGCCATTCGACAAACGAACACGTGGCGGCGGCCATTTTAACTTATTCAAACGCGGTCAGCGGTGTGTGCAGCCAAATCTATGGAACTGTTTGCGACTACCCAAATGCACGAACACCGCTGACCCGTACCTTCTTCGACACCGCGGCTGGAGACTAAGTCCCGTTCGAATGGGACTTAGTCATTTTCTCAGTGTAAAATAGACCGACCGCACAGCCCAAATGCATGGAACTGTTTCAAAGGACTTCCAACTAACTTTTGAACTAATGGAAGGTTTGCATGATTTTTGAGTGTTCATATTTCAAGTATGCTGATTATTAATATGTTAATTAATATGTAATAGGTTTTTATGAAGATTGAATGTATAGTTTTAAAGTTATAAAAATATATAAGTTTTAGCTTGGAGATAATTGAGTAGATACAGTAAGAAACTCAATTATCTCCCAAACAGAGGGGAGGGTATTTGTGGGATGTAACCGATATCTGATTGGTTAATGCCTAATTGCCTGTGGCCATCTCCCTTGCAGGGGAGCACTGCATAAAAGCAGAGTACCTGCCATTAAACAAGAGTTCTTCTTCACCCTCAATCTAGAGTCCTGTCTCTTATTGGGGGAATCGCTATATCACTACAAGGGATTGCTATGCTCTGCATGCTCCCTTGGATAATCACTTCTAGGCTCTTTTAAGAGCCTGTTCCTGCTTCACTCTCTTGGAGGAGAGGTTCACCCACTGGAACCTGGAGCCTTGTCGTAGGTCCAGGGTGGGTAGGAGACGGCGAGACCCCAACCAAGCTGCGGCGTTTCGTGGGGTCTACAGTGGTTGTGGTGTCTGCGGAGCGCTTGGAGCCCTCTGTACGCGCTAGGAGCATCCTTCAACGGAGGTACCCAGTCGGGGTGCCAGGTGATCCATTACAACATGTCACACATGTCATGTGTCCTTAAGGGGTTAAAACTGCTTACTCAGCAAGATGTGGGCTTGTGACAAACAAGTTCCCACTAAAAGCGCTTGTTTAAAAGTCAATTGCTCCTGTCACTTCCTTGTTCCGGATCCTGGCTCTGCCCCCTTATGACATGACACGTTTCACTAATGTGACCTGGGCTTCCTCAGACGCCCTCTTCATGCTGATTGTGGATTCGCACAGCTTGTAAGTCCCTCATCTCTTGCTCACATTTGTTCATCCTAATGGAGCTCTTATGATTCTAACCAGTTACCGCTCACCATATATACATCTCATCCATTAACATAATAAGTATACACATGGAAATAAAGAAAAACATCATTATTCTATAGAGAAGTACATTGTTCTCTACCTTATATTGCAGTCACCAATCTTATATTAACATTTGTCTTTTCTTCTTATATTCCTATTGGCTTTAGGGTAGTAAGGGGACTATCTACTAAACATGGTAAAGTTTTAAAATATGTCTTGTAAGAAGATAGAAGTGTATTAGCCTCCAAGCTATATATATCCTTGTAAGTTTGCTTAATGAAATGAGGGTACTTAGACTATAGATGTAAGCATCTGAGATCAATTAATATTTACTATCATTATTTTTACACAGGCTTAACCACAGTCTCTCCTGACAAGGATAGTTTTCATCCATTACAATGGAGACTGTCGATACTTGTTGCAATTCTGTCTGACAGTGAAAAATGTATCGGGATACTGTTATTAAGTCTGTGTGGTCTTTCAATAGCAAGTACCCATACAATGATCTTTTTCTCCTCTTGTAAACAGAGCAACTGGAGGATTAGCCATTGGGCTTTAGTTAAGTTTTTTGCTTTTGACCACCAATTTTTGGTTATACTTTGGGGTTGGTTTGATAAGCATTTATTTATCCATCTCTTTACAATTATTTTCTTATGCTAATTTAGATTTCCAGCTGACACTCTCCTGTAGAATATATATTCCAGCAGATATTGTTATTTGTATTTTTTTCTGCCTTTATAGGGGTTAAGTCCCAAGACACCACTGGAGTGTTTGACTGGTGGTCGCAGTTTACCGGCAGGAAGGCCAGCTCCCTCTGACCTCCACTGTCCAATTACTGCTTTTCACTATGTGTCAAAGTAACACCCACATGAATGCCAGGATCCAAGGTTTCCTAGCAGAACATTGCCTCTGCCGGCCTGCCTTCTTCTTGTCAATGAGGACATGCACCCGGCCAAATATCTGATCTAAAAAAATCTGTGATTCATCAGACCAGGCAACCTTCTTCCATGGCCCCATGGTCCAGTTCTGGACCTGGTCCCAATTGAAGGTGATATCAGATTTGGGCAGTTAGCATGCACAGTGCATCGCATTTACATCTACAATGCTGAGAGGCATATAAAAGAAACATCTGCTTCTCCACTCCTACCCTGACTGTAGGAATAGTATGATCTCTGACCTTTTGTTTGTTTGCTGTGTGTGTATGTGTCTCTGTGTGGGAGATGAGGGTATTGTTCTCAACCATATTTGCTGACTGTTACGGTTGCCTCCAGGCTGACTGGAAGTTGGACCCTAGAAAGGATGCTCCTAGCGCTCACCAAAGGACCATCAGCACCGTAGACACCATAACTACTGCATAGTCACCATAAGTACTGCAGACTCCACGAACCGCCACTGCTGGGCTAGGATCTTGCCGTCTGCTATCGACCCTGGACCTATAACCAGGCTCCAGGTTCCAGTAGGTGAACCTCTTCCTTCTGCAGAGCGAAACAGGATCAGGAACAAGAGCTCTTACAAGAGCTCAGTAGCTAAGGGAGTATGAAGAGCATAGCAATCCCTGTAGTGATTATAGCTGTCCCCTACAAACATGAGTCAAAGCTAGCTGCAAGTTAGAGGGTCAAGTCATTCTGTTTTTTGGCACCAAAAGAACCTTCTTTTATGCAGGTTGTCCTTAGATAGGACCACCCACAGGGTGTTACAAACACAACCAATCATACACGTACATCATTGAAAACACTCCCAGTAATTACACACAAAATCCTCCCCTCTGCCTGTGATATAATTATGTTACACAAGGGTTTAGCATAATTATCACAGACAGTAAAAATACAGTTTTTACTCACACACTGTAACTTTAAAACCATACATTCAATCTCCATAAAAATTACATATTCAAACTCAGCATACTTAAAATACAAACATATCCAAATCAGACAATTCCCTCCAGTGGTTTAAAAGTTAGGTTGAAATCCTTTGTGGCCAACTGAAGCATGGCCTTCCAGCCCAAACCAGTTCCACAGAGTCCTCTATCCTGGAGATAATTGGCTTAACTGGGTGTGGTAAGCCAGCTATCTCCAGGTACAGAAAATATCTGACAGATATTACCGAACAGAAAGAACTGAACAAGGGGATTCAGGCGAACCCTCCCTAGCCTCTATAGCTAGAGGTTTTCGTGCCATTCATTCCCTGACTCCAGGACCGACCGCAGGGCCCATTCACATGGAACCGCATTCGGCTGTTTCACTCAGTGCGGTTGGTCATTTTATTCCCTCCATAAATTTCCAGAATTTATGTATTATGTATGATTTAAGGGGGTACCCCTACGTTTAGGGGTACATCCAGAAACGGGGGGAATTGCTGTACTGGATAAGGGGATTATGATGCAGGCTGAGGGGAGGAGATGTGTGGGAGGTTACCAGGACAGGATTGGCTACTGTACTAATGACTGTAAATCCCTCCCTTGCATGGGAGCATGCTTTAAAAGGCCAGTGTGGAATAAAGCTTTCAGTTCTTTTCCTGAAACCGTGTGTCGTCCAGTTATTGGGATTGCTGTGGGGATACTGCTGTTATTTTGTCTGCTGGAAACCTTGCCTGTGGATTTACAATTTACTTGTTCCTGAGCCTCACTTGGATTATAAGCGGAGATAACCTGGGGAATATTGCATCTACGCTACACCGGGGTCAGAAGAAGCTGGACGGACGGAAAGGCCTGAAACAGGATTCCTGGACACAGCTTGCCGCGGAAAAACCTCGTGGACACTGAAAACCAAGATGGCGTCTGAGAGAACCCGGAAGTGGATCCTCATTCAACGCTGACCTCGAACGGTAAGGAGCAAGGTAAGGGGTGTGCCTTAAGTAGGCTAGGAGTGGATACCAAGCACCTCCTACACATACAGGCCAAATTGCCTTAATACATATATATGTAACAAAATGTGTAACAAAAACACCCCAGTTAACCAGTATAATGGCTGTGTATATGTATATGTATGTATGTATGTGTGTGTGTGTGTGTGTATGTATATGTGTATATATATATATATATATATATATGTGTATATATATATATATATATATATATATATATATATATATATATATATATATATATATATATATATATATATATATATATATATATATAAATAAAAATGGTAGGTAACAGCACTCTAAGGACTTCAAAAAGTAAATGGTGAAAAAAACTTAGCTTTTATTCAGCAACTGCCACACACAATCGACGTTTCAGTTCTTAATACAGAACTTATCTGATGAAAGTTCTGTATTAAGAACTGAAACGTCGATTGTGTGTGGCAGTTGCTGAATAAAAGCTAAGTTTTTTTCACCATTTACTTTTTGAAGTCCTTAGAGTGCTGTTACCTACCATTTTTATTTTTATGTTATTTGCTTTATTAGCACCAGGCATTAATCTATCTCTACAGGAGTGCAAGTATTTGAATATTTTATATATATATATATATGTATATGTGAACTCAGACTATTTGTTTTGCCTTCAGTAATCGTTTATTTGGGCTCATGGACTTGTAAAAGACTGTTTCTGGCCCTTTAAGTACCTTGGGAAAAGACCTGCCGTTTTGAATTGGCACTTCGGATGCAGCCAAAGTAGTCAAAGTGGCCGCCATTCGAAAATCAAACACGTGGTGGCAGACATTTTGATTCATCCGAACGCAGTCAGCGGTGTGTGCCGGCAAATCTATGGAACTAATTTTGGCTACCCAATTGCGCGAACACCGCTGACCTGTACTTGCTGCTCCCCTTCGACACTGCAGCTGGAGACTAAGTCCCGTTCGCATGGGTAGTCCCGTTCAGGGTAAAATTGACCGACCACACAGCCCAAATCTATGGAACTGTTTTTGGCAGGGTCCAAAGGGACTTTTTAATATCTTTGGAACCGCTGAATGGATTTTCACGAATTTTGGATATGTTTGTCTCCAGGTTATACTGGTTATAAAAATATAATTTATGCATGTGCAGTATAAAATCAAGAAGTTAAGAAAATATATAAAAATTTAACTTTTCAGCTTGGAGATAATTGAGTAGATACAGTTAATTAACTCAATTATCTCCTAAGCAGAGGGGAGGAATTCACTGTAACTCCTGGGTGTGCTCTATTGTCATCTTGTGTATGATTGGTTGCTGTAGCTGTATTGTCGGTGCCCCACAAGGTCCAGTGGGTGGTGTCTAACCTATAAAATCCTGCATAAAAGCAGCAATAAACGCTCAGTGGAGTCAGTTCTTCTTCACCCTTCAAAACGTAGCTGTGTCTCGTTGTTGAAAGGGAATTTGCAGCTTAATCACTAGCTCTTTTCAGAGCTCTGCCTCTCTACTGCTGCAGGGATCCAGCGGATGGACTTCACCTCTCCCCTACAGCCCAGCATCTTGCCCAGAGGAAGGACGTCACCAACGGCAGATACCCCTCACTACCCTGGGTAGCCGTTACAATGTGTGTGTGTGTGTATATATGTATATATATATATGTGTATATATATATATATATATATATATATATATTTTTTTTTTTTTTTAAAGGTCTGGCGCAATCAACATGATATTTCATGGTCATATTTCTTGTCTTTCATAAAAATATTGTCAGTTTTTCTAAGTATGGTAAACAATAAATAATTTATAGACAGATTTCCTTTAACTCCCACTACATTTCCACCACCTGGTCAAACCAGGTATCTACTACAGTTTCAATAGCACAACCCTCTAGTATAAGTGGTAGAGGCTTGGAGTGATATAAGAATAGTAGTACATACTTGGCACAACCTTCCAGTGGCAGCGGTAGGGGGGGTAACAGTGTGCTGCATGCGTTTAGAATATGTGATTAAAATGTATGTGATATACACAGTATCTGTAATTTGTTCCTCAAGCATAAATGCAGAGACGTGAGGCTACATGGGCTAAATCTAATTTTGCAAAGCAAATTAAAGTAAAAAAAAAAAAGAGAGAGTATACACAATTTTGCTAGTAAAGGGGTTAATGCACACAAATACTTGATTTCTTCACAATCACCATGAAACCTGATGGTCGTATATCTTACATATTATGCAAATATTGTCTGTTTTTCTAAGTATAGCAAACAATAATTTATTGTGATCGATTTCCTTTAACTACAAGTATCTTATCCTTCAGGTGTATTTGTCTGGAGAGGTGACAAGAACAGAAATACATGAAGCAAGGCGATGAAGAAATATTTTAATAACAGAACCAAGGAGTCTAACTCTGAAAAATCAAGCATTTTCTCAGATTCCTATATGTTCTCAAATCCCAAACCTTTCTCGTGTTCTGAAGGTGGAAAATGTTTTGGGCGACATTCAAATCTTGTCAATCATCAGACTACACACACAGGAAAGAAACCGTTCTCATGTTCTGAATGTGGAAAATGTTATAGGCGACATTTACATCTTGTCTGTCATCAGAGAACACACACAGGAGAGAAGCTTTTCTTATGTAGTATATGTGGGAAATGTTTTGTCATCAAAAAGCAGCTTGTTCGTCATCAGAGAACTCACCTAGGAGAGAAACCGTTCTCATGTTCTGAATGTGAAAAATGTTTTGTCACAAATGCAGAGCTTGTCAGTCATCAGAGAACGCACACAGGAGAGAAACCGTTCTCATGTTCTGAATGTGAAAAATGTTTTGGCAGAAATGCAGATCTTGTCAGTCATCAGAGAACGCACACAGGAGAGAAACCGTTCTTATGTTCTGAATGTGGAAAATATTTTCGGCACCGTTCAACTCTTGTCAGTCATCAGAGAACTCACACAGGAGAGAAAACATTCTCATGTTCCGTATGTGGAGATTGTTTTGGGCAATATTCAACTCTTGTCAATCATCAGCAAACTCACCTAGGAGAGAAACCGTTCTCAAGTTCTGAATGTGAAAAATGTTTTGTCATAAATAATACAGATCTTGTCAGTCATCAGAGAACTCACACAGGAGAGAAACCATTCTCATGTTCTGAATGTGAAAAATGTTTTCGGCACCGTTCAACTCTTGTCAGTCATCAGAGAACTCACACAGGAGAGAAACCATTCTCATGTTCTGAATGTGGAAAATGTTTTCGGCACCGTTCAACTCTTGTCAATCATCAGAGAACTCACACAGGAGAGAAACCATTCTCATGTTCCATATGTGGAAATTGTTATGGGCAATATTCATATCTTGTCACTCATCAGAAAACTCACACAGGAGAGAAACCGTACTCATGTTCTGAATGTAAAAAATGTTTTAGCACAAATGCAGCGCTTGTTCGGCATCAGCGAACTCACACAGGAGAGAAACCGTTCTCATGTTCTGAATGTGGAAAATATTTTGGGCAACATTCACATCTTGTCACTCATCAGAAAACTCACACAGGAGAGAAACCGTACTCATGTTCTGAATGTAAAAAATGTTTTGTCACAAATGCAGATCTTGTCAGTCATCAGAGAACTCACACAGGAGAGAAGCCTTTTTTATGTAGTATATGTGGGAAATGTTTTGCTAGTAAATCAGAGCTTGTCAGTCATCAAAGAACTCACACAGGTGAGGTGATTTTATAATGCATGGATTATGGATTAACATAGGAATAAAATATCTTGTATTGTGATTATTTTTTTTTTGTTTTTATCATGCTCACACAATAAATAGTAACTTTGATAGTAGCAGTCAATGTACATATATTGCATTGGTATTGTGGCACCCCCATGCTATCGTCCGTATGTGCCTAACCTGCATTGCTAACTCTGCTTCACTTGGTTGCAAACTCACCAGTAACCCAGTATACAACCCAGTATACAACCCAGTATACAACCCAGTATACAACCCAGTATACAACCCAGGATACATTGTGGTTGTATGTTCTGGCTGTTATAAAGCATACTAACTAGACTGTTCCACTGGTAATACACTTCAATGAAAATGGTTGGTTGTTTAGCATGACTTACATTTGTATGATTCCAACCAAGACCTCAGCAAACACAATAGACACATGCTTCTTGATGGCAACTTGTAGGATCACTATTTCTGAGCTCCAGCTTTTATAAAAAAAAACTACAGCACACACATGAAATGTATTTACAAATTATTTATACCAATAAAAATATGAACTGGGATAGGAGACCAGAGATCTGACTGAGGAATATAAATTAGGCTAAGCTAATTATCCCCTGGGGTCCTTTATTCTTATCCCAGGACACAATAACCTTGGACATTCTAAGAGACAGGCTAGTTTCCCCAACCCCCATGTTAATACAGACTTCAAGCAACAGTTATGTTTACTTCTAATTTTCTAGGTTTTTATTTTTCCTTAGGGCATACAATGCAGCTGAGAGTATAACTAATAAATATACCAATTTTGTCAAATACGGCAATCAGACATTCATAATTTGGAGTAAAATTTCAGCCTTCTGAAAAACATTTAATGAGCTTTAAAATATCTGATGTGTCGTAGGATTTTATCTTTGTAAGATGATTATTATTCTTGTATTGGTTGCAAATAATATCGTTTCAGACTTCTTTCACACACAGGATCTGGTAGGCCCTACCTAGACATCTAATATTAATTATCGGACATATGTCCATTGTATATCAATGGTCGACACATATGGTTTTTGTTCACATAGATTGATGAAGGCCCGCTGTTGTTATAACCTTTGACCCAGCCAGACTCCCATGTGTATTAAGAAGGGCCTCTTTCTGAATGTATTAATTTTAACATATATGTGTAAATTATATGTGTAATTTATATTTTACCGCCAAGTATAACCATTTTTTTTACAAATACACAAGTCCTGCGCTCAAACTCCCATTACTCTTGGGTGGCCATAGTACACATCAGCCCTAATACATACAGTAAAAAACAAAGAAAACAAGTTAACCATTTTTATAATGTATGGCTTTAATCATAGATTGGACAGAATGGTTATTAAGCTTCAACCCTTTTTACACATTTTTTTTTAAAGAATTAAATAACCGTATCCTTATGTGTACACCTCCTAATTAACTGATTTCTTAGACATAGAAAATATTTTTGCAGATAGATATTCACCACCAATACTTAACAGCAAAAATGGATATTAACTTTGTGACGAGCGCAATCTCGCCACACTGCATTGGAGAAACCTGGTTGCCCGCCTGCTGCCTTTTTATGGACCGGCAGTGAAACAGTTAATTTTACTGTGCAGAAAGGTTTATTCATGCCTTTCTGCACAACCGTTCGGCAGATTCTATTAGCCTCCCCAGAGCCGTGGGGAGCTGGCAGACGCTGTTAATTGGCCGCCCAGAAGCTGGCATGTGCAGTCAATTGACCACCCAGTAGCTGCAGTTAACCACAGCTTAATTGACTGTTACTGGGTGGCCGCGGTTACACTTAGCGGCCACTAGGTGGTGTTATGGAGCTTCCCGGACGGCCAGCGGTGCTCAGCCCGGAATCAGTGCACTAAAAGCGGACACTTTTACGTGCGGGCATCGCTGAGCCATTCGCCTCCTGGTTCTTATTCGTGCAGATTTAACCGAATACATGTTCATTTGGTAGTTTGTATATGTGAATGTGTTAACCCAGATAGCTATGCCATGGAGCCTATTCGTGTAATTAAAGACTTTGGCTCCATGGCAATTGAACTGTGTGAATAGGATCTGAGCGCTATTCGGTAGTTTTGTGCGCTCAGATCCCAGCTATCTGGGGATATGTGACATGTCTGTGTTTTATGTATAAAATGTAATATTATATGTTTTAATGTATTTCACTGTCTTTGTGTCCCCACATGTATACTGGAGTTTTGCCTCTGTCCTGGGAGATAATTGGATTACTTCTCAATTATCTCCAGGATAGAGGGAGGGAAATTAGGATGCATTGTGGGGATGTTTTTGCTTCTGTGTGTCTGAATGTGATACATGTCTGTCTCTTGCCACAGTCTCCCATCTGGTCCCCTAGGGGAGTGTCCACCAGGTGGGAGACCTGCATAAATACTGGGCGGGTAGCCCTGAATAAACCAGACCACTGCTTGACCCTCAACACGGAGCTCTGTCTTGTCTTTGGGGGGGATTTACTGTATGCCGCTAGAGACTGATTGCCAGGAGTGTAAGCTACTTGGGAGCTTTTCCTGTTCGTCTGCTAGCAGCTATTCATGAGGTTCCGGTTCGGGAGTTTAGAGTGCTACCTTATTCCCTTGTATCCAGTTCGGGAGTTTGGTGTTCTACAGTAGCTGCCTTTTTATCTGAAAGGGGAATATAGCCTAAACGGATTTTAACCCATTGTCTGCTGAAACAGTCCGTTACAAACTTGAAGTGCATACATATTACTGTATTGGTACAGATATGTGCAAAGACTTTGTTATTTTTGGATGTCGTGTATGTTTGAATAAATATACATTTTAAGGCTGCAAGGCAATCGGATTCAATTATTGGAACTCTGATGTGACAAACAAACATCTCAGCATCAGCTACTTTCCTACATTTAATGGTGGAGAAGGCATGGGCAAGATTTAAGTCTGAATTATTACTGGCTGAATATCTAAAAAGGTTTTGCTGCTAGAAGATTACAAGAAGATAACTGTAGAAAAAGTCAAACTGTTCCCTGCAACGTTAACAAAAACAATAAAAACCTCTTTCCAGCGATAGTGAATGATACTCTATAGTGCCTAAACGAGAAGCAGCTCGACATATAAAGTGCAATACCCTTATTTCCACAATCAATTTACAATACTAAAAGATATGGTATAAAATATACACCAACTAGTGGAGCACTATATAAGTATATTAAGTGATAGAGGGGTCAACTTACCCCGTCAGTTTAGTGTGATACCACACTTGGGAATATATACTTAAAAACACATATAAAAGGGAGAAAAAAACTAAGAAATACATGGTATAGATGGTCTTTAGCAATAATGGTTGATAAAAGTAAATAACTAGACCCACTCACATGATCTGGAGCCTATATGGTATTGGCTCTGTAAAGTAAACCTTTTTGCTCTTTGGGCAGCAACACACCACTTCCTAAATGATGTTCCTCCAAAAGACACAAAAAGAAGAGAAATAGACTAGATGGGTAGTACTGTGCAAAATTACAGTATATATACTTATGGTAAGTATTGTGCTCACCATATTGAGAGCCATAAGTTCCTTGCTCTGAGAATGTTCAGCAGTGTGCCAATTTCTTGGGATGGCACTCCCCAAAAAAATTCCTGGTGGCTCCAAGGACTTGAATGAAATAAAAAATAAATGTATTGGTTCCTGTAACGGCACCCAGAGTGTAGAAGGGGTTAAAGCCATTTAGGGTATTCCCTTCCCGAACACAAAGGCATCTACCGAACCTCCAATCAGCCTAACAAGCAAACATATGAATAATCCACACTCCAAACAGCCAAACAGGAAAAGTATACGAATAATCCCCCCAAGTACAAGACGAGGCTCTGTATTGAGGGTCAAGCAGGAAACTAGTTTAATGTGGGCTACCTGACCGGTATTTATGCAGGTCTCCCACCAAGTGGACACTCCCCTAGGGGACCTTGTGGAAACCTGTGACAAGAGTAGTACAGAAGCAAATCACAGGGTTAACTGTATAAGACCCGCCTCTCTATCCTGGAGATAATTGGGAAGTAACTCAATTATCTCAGAGGATAGAGGAAAACTCCATTTTATTAACATGGACAAAAATACATAAGAAATCTATAAGTTACAATTTACCGAATGTAACCCCCATATGGAACATATCCCCGGATAGCTTATATCTGAGTGCATATTATTACCAAATAGCGCTCAGATCACATACATGGTTCAATCGCCATGGAGCCAAAGTATTTCACATAGTTTTTCATTGTATGAATGGGCTCCATGGGACAGCTATCTGGGGTGACTCCATTCGTGAGGAAAAGTACCGAATGGTACGGCGTTCGTATGATGAAGGAACAGAGGAAGGAAGGTCGGTGGCTTCAGCGGTGTTCGTGAGAAATAGTATCCGTTTTCAGTTCCATGAAACAGTCGACGAACAGTGCTGGGAATTCGTATGTCCAAGATGGCCGCCGCCACATGTTCGTTTATACGAACGATGACCACCGAGCTGACCTTCGACAATTAGGAAGTGTCTGCAGTTAACTACAACCAAGAGGTTAACAAGCAGCACACCTCCATGCTGGGTGGCCGGCCGTTCGGCAGTTTCTTCGGTAAAACAGGAGAATAATGTAGGGACTGTACGGACAGGGACATAGCCGAACAAACAGACGAATGAAGGGGAAATAAAAGTAATTTACAGACAGATGGGTCTGTCACAGTTCCAAATTAAAACACAATATTCAAGGTTTTAAGCTATAAAATAAAATCTGAAATGTAGTATACAAAGTCCAAATCAGCCAAAACGCGTTTCATAGAAACATAGAATGTGACAGCAGATAAGAACGATTTGGCCCATCTAGTCTGCCCAATTTAAAAAAATATTTTCATTAGTCCCTGGCCTTATCTTATAGTTAACATTGCCTTATGCATATCCCATGGATGCTTAAACTCCTTTACTGTGTTAACCTCTACCACTTCAGCTGGAAGGCCATTCCATGCATCCACTACCCTCCCAGTAAAGTAATACTTCCTGATATTTTTAAACCTTTGCCCCTCTAATGTAAAACTATGTCCTCTTGTTGTGCTAGTTTTTCTTATTTTAAATATAGTCTCCTCCTTTACTGTGTTGATTGCCTTTATGTATTTAAATGATTCCATCATATCTCCCCTGTCTTGTCTTTCCTCCAAGCTATACATGTTAAGTTCCTTTAACCTTGAACCAGTTTAGTAGCCCTTCTCCGAACTCTCTCTAAAGTATCAATATCCTTCTGGAGATACGGTCTCCAGTACTGTGCACAATATTCCAAGTGAGGTCTCACCAGTGTTCTGTACAATGGCATGAGCAGTTCCCTCTTTCTACCAGTGGCGTCTCTAGGATTCATTTTTCGGGGGGGCACATGGAGGACCAGTGACAAAAGTAGGGGGGCACATTTAACCCCACCCTCGCCACAGTTTGACCCCGCCCCTGTCGCATGTTAAGCCACGCCCCCCCGACACAATGTGTTTTGTTTTTTTAATAATACCTGGTGGAGGATTCCTTATTTTCCACCAGGGATTATTAAAAAAACAAACACATTATCCTTGATACAGTGCCATAGTTGCCAACATTTGAAAAAAAAATTCCAAGGACATTTTGCAGCACAGCTATTAATTACTGTCTGGGTATAATATCCCTGGACAGTCAGTGCTCTCTGTATAATACAGGGTTGTGTGTATAATAAATTGGGACACTCAGTGCTCCCTGTATAGTGCTGCTCTCTGTATAATACAGGTCTGTTTGTGTATAATATCCCAAGACAGAGAGCAGCACTATACAGGAAGCACTGACTATCTGTAGCGTTACTTACCTTAACCGGGGGCCGGTTGCGGTCCTCTCTTCAAGCCGCGCGCGGTCCTGCGGCTGCACGAGCCGCGCGCGGCTCATCCGACTGCTTCAGATGGAAGGCGGGCAGTGACCGCGTGAAGCGGTCACGTGTCCCGCCTGAAGCGGTCACGTGTCCCGCCTAAAATTAAGAGACAGTGGGAGCCTAATTGCCAAAAGGCTCCCATTGGCTCCTGTCATACCACACTCCCTGTACAATTACCTATAGGGGGTGTGGAAGTGACAGGAGCCAATCACTTTGGTTTAAAAGCTATTTAACTTACCTTTTTCCCTTAGCTCGTTGCCCTATCGTGGTTTCTGTTTCAGTTCCCTTTAGCGCTTGTGGTGTTCAGTTGTGTTTTCTTGTATTGACTTTGGCTTCGTATTCTGACTTCGTTTTCGCTTTATCCTTATCTGTACTGTTTGCCGGCTTGCTGTTTTCCGTGTACCAGACCCGGCTTGTCCTAGTTTACGCTGTCTCTCTGTGCCCTTGACCTCGGTTTGTTCCTGGCTCTGTCTCCTCTCATATACGTCGAGTCCGGCCATTCTAAGGTCCGGTAGGCGTATCTCTCCTCTGTATTTGCCTCTGTTTAGCTGGATCCTGCGTGTAGGGGTATATTCTCGTTACATTACGATAGGGCCATGGACCCCGCAGATTTAGCTCAACAGATGGCATCCCATGAGGCAAGATTTGTAGAGCAGGATCACCGTATGGATCAGATAGCTCAGGCTCTCCAGACGCTCCTAGCTAGAACCGTTCCAGCAACCACACCTAACCCTCCTACGCCCCTTCTCCCTGAAGTATCTACTTTGCCTAATACTTCGGCCCATTTAACACCTCCTCCTAGGTATGGAGGACTCTAAGACTTGCAGAGGGTTTATTAATCAAATTGAATTCCACTTCGAAATGTATCCACGTTCATTTCCCACAGAGAGGTCTAAGGTTGGGTTCTTTATGCACCAACTCACCGATAAGGCACTAGAGTGGGCAAATCCTATTTGGGAAGCTAATGGACCTATGGTGCATGATTTCAACAGTTTTCTTACGGCTTTTCGTAGAACTTTTGACACAATGAAAAGGTCAAAGAATGCCGCGAGAGCATTAATGAGAATTAAACAGGGTTCTAGGTCTGTGGCTGATTATGCCATTCAGTTTCGCACTCTTGCTTCGCAGGTAGATTGGACCAACAATGGGTTAACTACTGCCTTTATGGAAGGTTTGTCAGATACGATATTGGATGAGGTAGCAGCTAAGGAGCTTCCTATTGCCTTAGAGGACCTTATCGACTACCTCATTGATATAGATAATAGAATTCGTGACAGGCTCTATACCAAGAACAGGAATAGACGTTTTGTTACACCCATTAACCCCAGAGTTAATACCAGAGAGTGTTAAAGTGTCTGAGGAGGAACCTATGCAATTAGGGGTTGCCAAACTCTCTGATACTGAGAAATTACATAGGAGAAGGGAGGGACTCTGCCTATACTGTGGTAGGAGAGACCATATGGTAAGGGAATGTCCTTTACTCCCGGAAAACTCTTGCACCTAAGACCTTATAGGGGACTGGCCTTGGGTGTGATATCTAAGTCTCCTAAATTGCCTCCTAACCGCTTGCTTCTCCCGGTTTCTTTATAT